CTCGGCTTTTGAAGCATTTTTCGCGCAGGAAGTTGTCGGGATGCTTGAAAAAGTGATAATCGGTGGGCGAGAGGTCCGGTGAATATGGCGGATGAGGCAGAGTCTAGTAGCCCAATTCGTTCAGCTTCTGCAGGGTCAGTTGAGCAACATGCGGGCGAGCGTTGTCATGAAGGAGAATTGGTCCCTTCATATTTACCAATCTCGGGCACATACGTTGGAGCTTCTGGTGCATTTCGTCGATCGTAATCGTTTCACCCGGATTCAAGAAGCTGTGATTGATGAGGCCGGCCGCAGACCACCAAACAGTTACCATAACCTTTTTTGGTGCAATTTTGACTTCGGGGAGTGTTGTGGAGCTTCTCCGGCATCCAACCACTGTGCCGAGCGTCGCCGGTTGTCGTAGAGGATCCACTTCTCATCACACGTCACAATCTGCTCGAGAAATGGGTCGTTTTTGTTGCGCAGAAGGAGCGTAGAAGACACCTCAAAACGACGATTTTTTTTTATTATCTTTCAATTTATGCGGCACCCATTTATCCAACTTTTTTGACTTCCCTATTTGCTTTAAATGGCGAACGATTGTTGAGTGGTCGACCTCGAGTTCAACAGCAACTTCTCGTGTGGTTTTGCGAGGATCGGCTTCAATTAAGGCTTTCAAATGTTCGTTATCAACTGCAGTCGGCCGGCCGCGACCGTCTTCATCTTCGAGGCTCTCGTCACCATTGCGAAATTCCTTGAACCACCGTTGTGCCACACGTTCGTTAGTGGTTCCTGGGCCAAACGCATCATTGATATCACGAGCTGTCTCGGCAGCTTTTCGGCCTAGTTTGAACTGGAACAAGAAAATCGTGCGGATTTGAATTTTGTCCATGCTGTCGAAAAGCCTCCAAAGAAATGAATGAAGAGATTGAGAACGGTAACAAATAACACGATTCGATAGAGCGAAAAACGTGCTTCAAAATGATATATAACATGGCTATATATATCAATGAATTAATTCAGAAATCATATATAAAAGTAACATATGTGAGAAAACGACATTATTTTTGCACCAACCTAATGTATATATATATATATATATATATATATATATATATGGAAAAATATACTCTTACGGTGGGCTATATTTATGGGATAAAGTGCTCAATATCAGAGATAGAGCGTGTGTAAATATAAAAGTGAACATTGAAGTCAACACTTAGAGGCGACAGGCTGTTTCATGCTAGACGCAATCATCAGACTATATATATATATGTGTGTGTGTGTGTGAGAGTGAGAGAGAGGGGGCACTATTATATAGGGTGCCCACTGAAAGACTGAATGATATAAAACAAAAATAACTTTTACAAACATATGAGTGTCTTAGGGTAGTAATCTGTGGACCATTTGAGAGAAGCGATGGCTATAAGCTGATGGATGCTCAAAGACACTCTGCCGTACAGCTTTCACCGCTGAGCCAATGCGCGCAGTGCGCTTAGGACCTCTTACCTGAAGATCACCGACTGATCCAGTTCTTTCAAACCGGGCGATTAATTTCCTAATCATGTTATCGTTAGGAGATACACTGACATTAAAATACTATCGCTATTTTCTCTAAGTTTGAATAATTGATCTTTCATTGAAATACAAAAACTCGTTTTCCTCGTTGCTGGACATCATATGTTTTAAAATATATTAGGATGCTTGGAAAGTAATTACGTTTAATTTGAAAGGATATAAAGTTAAATTTCTTTACATGATATTTCGCAAAACTAATGAATTTCTGTCCAATGGGAAGGCAAATTTTTGATTCCACGTCTATAGAAATTTAAGTTTTTATTTACCGAAAAGAAATTGAAAAACTGTTTTCACCTTTTTTGTTTCTGAATGTTCTGTCACTTATGTCAAATGTTCTGGTGTATGAAACAAATGAAAATTTATAAGTGTTCAATCTGGAGAGTACGGAGAATGTGGAAGAACTTCCCATACTAATCAGTTTATTTTTTTATCGGGTTTGTTTTGTGGACGATGCCTTTGTATTGTCATGTTGGAGAGTAACACCTTTTCTGTTTACCAAAGCAGGACACATCTGACACTTTATTTACTCAATCAAGTTCCTGAAAATAAAGATCTGTAGTAATGGTCCCTTCATGTTCCAGTAGCTCATAATGGACAGCACTTTTCATATTCCAACAGACGCAGAGCAAGGACTCCTGTGGATGGATTTCTGGTTTGGGTGCTGGCACTGGTTTCTCATTTTGTCATAAAACACGGTCTTTTACTTGTGACATGCAAAACACATTTTTCATCATCTCTATAGTTGCAAAATCCGGTGAGTCTGGTGGATGTGGAAGAACCTCGCATCTATATTTCTTCTTAGGTTTATCTTTTGAAGGGTGTGCTCTTGAATTGGCATGAGAGGGAATAACATAATTTCTATTTACTGGAGGTTGAAAAACACGAACGAATTTATCTGACTACCTAGTATTCTTCCTCTTTTATTTTTATGATCTTTTTCAAA